CAATTTACATTATGATGTACTGTATTACAATCTACTACTATTTAAAACAAAGAAAATACAGACATACTAATTTCGAAGTAGTAAGTGGTTGAGCATTCATCAGCACAATATGAGTTAGCTTTTGAGAAACTGGTAGTGATTAGGTACTGTTTGTCTGGGTAATTCTAGGTGATGAGGTGATTTCTTATTAGGGCCTTAAAATTGATTTGCAGACAGGGGTCCTTTAGTGTATTCTGGCAATGAATTCCAGATCTCTGGGCCTTTTACGTACATAACATTTTTGCATAGGGAGAGATGAAAAGTGATCTGTGTCTTGTATTATGGTTGTGTGTTCTGTTACTGTTATGAAGGAGGAGTTTGAGAGGATAGTTTACATTACACCTTACACCCAATTGTAGCATTCTCATACTGTAAACTACTTTCATCAACTCACAATGTTATATTCCTATAATATAATTTCAACATTTACTACTGAAACTATTGTAATTTGAGTAAAATTACTGATTACTACAAATAAAAACAGATGTACAACTTAAACAAACTGATTAATTTCTTTAGTATTAAGTAGAGTGTAAGCCATTAAATTAAGTCTGCCCATAATGCCTAGGCATGATAGTGCCTCTCTTTGCACTGCAACTCATTATTGTAATTTCATAATCTCAATGTAATCTTGCAAGGAAATAAAATTTGATTTGATTTGAAATGGGCTACTCAAAACAATATTAAGTTCAATGATGAGAAATTTCTAATACTCAGATATGGAAAACTTGAGGAAATTAAAACTGTATCAGGGTATAAGACAAATTCTTACCATACAATAGAGCGAAAAAAGTAATGTGAAGGACCTGGGAGTGATAATATCAGAGAATCTCGCCTTCAAAAACCACAACAATGTATCAACCACATTTGCTAGGAAAATGACAGGATGGATAATGAGAACCTTCAAAAATAGGGATGTCAAGCCTATGATGATTCTCTCCAAGTCACTTGTTCTCTCTAGGCTGGAATACTGCTGTACACTAACTTCCCTCGAAACTGCTGACCTGGAGAGTGTACAAAGAACTTTCACCACACACATAAGTACGATAAAGCCCTTAAATTACTGGGAACAGTTGAAGGCCATTGATGTGTATTCCCTGGATTGCAGGTGAGAGAGATACATGATAATATACACTTGGTAACTCCTAGAGGGATTAGTACCAAACCTGAACACAAAAATAACTCTCTATGAAAGCAAAACACTCGGCAGGAGATGCAACATTCCACCAGTGAAAAGCAGGGGCGCCACAAGTACACTGAGAAACAACACAATAAGTGTCCAGGGCCCAAGACTGTTCAACTGCCTCCCAGCATACATAAGGGGGATTATCAATAGATCCCTGGCTGTCTTCATGAAGTCACTGGACAGGCACCTAAAGTCATTACCTGACCAGTCGGGCTGTGGTTCGTACATCAGTTTGCGTGTGGCCATCAGTAATAGCCTGGTTGATCAAACCCTGATCCACCACGGGACCTGGTCTCGGACCGAGCCACTGGGGCGTGGACCCCCGAAACACTCTCCAGGTAAACTGCAGGTATGTCGAGGACTCTCTAACTTATTTCCATTGGGGTCCTCAGTCTTGTCCCCCAGGATGCAACCCACAACAGTCGACTAACACCCAGGTACCTATATGCTGCTAGATGAACAGGACAACAGGTGTAAGGAAACGTGTCGAAATGTTTCCACTCACCGGGACCCCCGTGTGAGAACCCTCCGTGTGTGAAGCGGGAGCTTTAGCCACCAGGTCACCATGTCTGATCATGTTTTGCAAGGAGAAAAAGGGTGGTGCTAAGGACACATCCCTGAGGAACACCTTCAGGTTCGACAAAGTCCGGGGAAAAGCAAATTATTAACCCGAACACGGAAATATCTCTCAGATAAGTTTGCAAGAAAAAATGACACATTGCCTAAGGAGTGACACTACTCCAAGTAGTGTCATACGCCTTTTCAAGTTCAAAAAAGACTGCTATAACGGGGTGGTTACTGGAGACCTGGAGTTTACCTGGAGAGTTCCGGGGGTCAACGCCCCCGCGGCCCGGTCTGTGACCAGGCCTCCTGGTGGATCAGAGCCTGATCAACCAGGCTGTTGCTGCTGGCTGCACGCAAACCAACGTACGAGCCACAGCCCGGCTGGTCAGGAACCGATTTTAGGTGCTTGTCCAGTGCCAGCTTGAAGACTGCCAGGGGTCTGTTGGTAATCCCCCTTATGTATGCTGGGAGGCAGTTGAACAGTTTCGGGCCCCTGACACTTATTGTATGGTCTCTTAACGTGCTAGTGACACCCCTGCTTTTCATTGGGGGGATGTTGCATCGTCTGCCAAGTCTTTTGCTTTCGGTATTTGAGAGATTTTCCGTGTGCAAGTTCAGTACTAGTCCCCTAGGATTTTCCAGGTGTAAATAATCATGTATCTTCCCGCCTGCCATTCCGGGGAATACAGTTTTAGGAAACCTCAAGCGCTCCCAGTAATTGGGTATTTTATCTCCGTTATGTGCGTCGTGAAGGTTCTCTGTACTTTTTCCCTGGGGTCAGCAATTTCACCTCCCTTTGGGAAAGTGCTGTTAGTGTGAAGAAATATTCCAGCCTAGATAGAACAAGTGACCTGAAGAGTTGCCCATCATGGGCTTGGCCTCATTAGTTTTGTAGGTTCTCATTATCCATCCTGTCATTTTTCTAGCAGATGCGATTGATACAATGTTATGGTCCTTGAAGGTGAGATCCTCCGACATGATAAATTCCCAGGTCTTTTGACGTTGGTTTTTGGGCTCTATTTTGTGGCCAGAATTTGTTTTGTACTCTGATGAAGATTTAATTTCCTCGTGTTTTCCATATCTGAGTAATTGAAATTTCTCATCGTTGAACTTCATAATTGTTTTCTGCAGCCCACTGAAAGATTTGGTTGATGTTCGCCTGGAGCCTTGGGAGTGTCTGCAATGGAAGACACTTGTCATGCAGATTCGGGTTTTCCCTCTGCAAAGGAAGACACGGTGCTGTGGCTGACATCCTTGTCTATGTCGGATATGAGGATGAGGAACAAGATGGGAGCAAGTACTGTGCCTTGTGGAACAGAGCTTTTCACCGTAGCTGCCTCGGACTTTACTCTGTTGACGACTACTCTCTGTGTTCTGTTAGTGAGGAAATTATAGATCCATCGACCGACTTTTCCTGTTATTCCTTTAGCACGCATTTTGTGCGCTATTTTGTGCGCATGGTCACACTTGTCGAAGGCTTTTGCAAAGTCTGTATATATTACATCTGCATTCTTTTTGTCTTCTAGTGCATTTAGGACCTTGTCGTAGTGATCCAATAGTTGAGACAGACAGGAGCGACCTGTTCTAAACACATGTTGCCCTGGGTTGTGCAGTTAGGCCTGAGTGGTTGAGGGGAGAGGACGTGTGTGTTGAGTGAAGTCCTGGGCCTTCTATATCAGAACTGCTTATCTCACCCGACTGATAACTCATCATGCAACAAATATCGTTGGAGCGCAGCTGAATTGCTGCTGGAACTCTTATGTGTGAACTGTGACTAGTGATATACCTAGTGAAACACAAACATGTTGATTTGAAGTGGCTGTAGGAGGCCTACCTTCACTCCACCTCGCCTGTCTCCCCTCCTTCCTCGATTTGGAACTCAGGCATTCGCCTCTATTTACTTATGGTCTAGAGGCGGTTTTTGAAAAGACCACAAAAATGCTTGAGTGCCCGTTGGGCAGTCCTCCGTGCCGCACTCCACTCATCTTACGAATATGTCTCCTGTGTGCCTACCTGCCTGCTACAAGCAAATATCCAAGTGGTTGACACGGGGCTTCAAGCACATTCAAGCAGGC